TATATATATATATATATATATATACCTGGAGCTGTCCCTCTGCGAGTCTGAATGCGAGTGCCTGCAGCACGTACAGCTGGCGCTCTCCCCACAGCACCGCTTTGTCTGCGCCCCCTTCTCTCAACGCCAAGACATCGCCGCTGGCTGAGGTGGTGCACCAGCTCAGAGGAAACGAATCCGCAAACGAATCCGCGTCAAAACCTTCAGCCTCCAGGTCCAGTACCTGTATACAGCAGCAGCAGCAGCAGCAGCAGCAGCAACAGTAGCAGTAACGGCAGAAATAGCAGCAGCAGCAGCAACGGTAGCAGTAACGGCAGAAGCAGCAACAGCAGCAGCAGCCACGGTAGCAGTAACGGTAGAAGCAGCAACAGCAGCAGCAGCAACAGCAGCAGCAACAGCGGCAACAGAAGAAGCAGTTGTAGGCGTGCTGGGACTAGCAGCACCCGTAGCTGGGGTACCACCAGCAACGCCGGAGACAGCAGCAACAGTAGCTGCTGCTGCTGCTGCCCTTTTCTGCCTTTGTTTTAATTTGTTCTTTTCCTCTTTCTCTCCGCCTGAATCTATGGGCTGCTGCAACCGACTCTGTGTGCTGCTACAGTCTCTCTAGGTGCTGCTGCAGTGTCTCTGCGTCGCAGTTTTGCTGCTGCTGTGTCTTTCTGTCTCCTTTGTTTCACCACTGGGGTGTATCTGTGTCTTTGTCTCTCATTCTATTTGCCTCTGCAACATATTTTTATTGAACTTCTGCTGCTGCGGCGTCTTGCCTCTAATGTATAGTGCTCGTGCTGTTCATCAGAGCAGCAGCAGCAGCAACAGCAGCAGCAGCAGCAGCAGCAGCAACAGCAGCAGCAGCACGTCTCCGTTGGTGTTTACTTTCTTAAGTATTTGCACAGCGAGCGCGTCTGTAGCTTCGAGGTCTTTCGGTTCAGGAGACAGCCCAACGAGGGGTCTCCACACCAAAGGAGACAGATTCAGCCCCAAGCTCAAACGGCCCCGCAGCACAACGCCCATCAGCCGCCCCAGCACGCGGAACGCACCCAGACGAGCAGCAGACAGCGCCTGCGGATTCAACTGCCACATGTCCTGCAGCAGCAGCAGCAGCAGCAGCAGCAGCAGCAGCAGCAGCAGCAATAGCAGCAACGAAAGCAAGAGTGGGAGCAGCGGCAGAAACAGATTGAAATCAGACAAGCACATACATACCCCGTCTTTGCGCCAGGGCACACCGCGGCAACAGCAACAGCAACCGCAGCAGCAGCAATAACAGCAACAGCAACAGCAACAGCAGCAGCAGCAGCAGCAGCAGGAAGGAGGAGCAGCACGAACCTGATCTTGTCCAAAGCCTCGGCTGTTCGCTGAGGGCAGCAGCAGAGCGTTGCTGCTGCCAGGCGTCTGCAGCTCAGCAGCAACATGCGAGAAGAGATCCCTATACAGCCCGCCTGCATCGATGCCCCCCTCTCCTTCATATGCAACAAACCAAACTCTGTTGCTGCGGCGCAGCAGCCAGGGGAAAACACCTTCTAGCTGTCCAGCAAGCTGCATGGTCACGTCTTTCAGCCCGCTGCTGCTCGCTCCCCCGCCCGCAGCGCGCGGGCCCTGTTAATAGCAATGCGGAGGCGGCCGTCTGCTC